TGGATCTAAGCACAACCAATAGCTACAGCGGACCCCAGTCTGATCAGGGTATCTCTCTCTGTGCCAGGGTTCCTTGGAGCCCTACAGGCCCAATCCCAAGCCTGCTACGGTTCATCGGAACGTCACTAACACATTCATCCCCAGTCGATCCAGCTGCCAAAGCACAATTCCTGTCCGAGAGGACTGTGCTCTCCATTTTGCCTCTGGTTTTGCTGCTCTAAATTGGATTACGCTTGAGTCTGTCTCCAAGGGAGATACCTGCCTGTCTGCATCTGGCTTTACTGAAGCAGAGGCCCTTGAATGACAAGATCCATGGGTCCCACTGTTGTTACAAAACATGACAGCAGTTGCTGTTCTCTTCCCACAATTCCGGGTTAGGTGGCTTCCTTCCTCCCACTGAATCTCAGATCAGTGCCTTACTTGGACAGTTTTCCTTTCATGTCAGTTTTATTTCAATATCCCAGGCCGCACATTGATCCCTTCACACAGACAGCTCTTCAAGCACTATGAAAGTCATTTATTTAACTATCACCTTCCAGCAAGTGACCTCTTCCAGGTCAGCATATTCTCATGGTGTCTATCTCAAGCAAAGAAATGGAGCTTTTGTAACTCAGTATTTATTGAACTTGATCTTTGAGGTTATTAGGGATTCAAAGTTTATCTGCCAGATTAGTTGTTTTTCGTTTTTGTTTTCTCAGCTGCAGCCTATTGCCCTTGATTTGCATGAGTTAGACATTAACTGCACTATGTACTCCTGGGGGAAAACTGTGCCAAAAAACTAAAAATTCTGCACATGATATTTTAAAATTCTGCATATTTTATTTATCAAAATAACACAGAATATCTGTCAGCGAGTATGTCTGTAACAATACAGACAAAAAAAAAGATTCAGAAAATGTTTTTTTGACAGATAGATTCCTTATTAGGCATATTAATACAGAACTTTGAGTAATAATTCCTTTGAACTGCAATACAGAACTGTATTTCCTGCCCCCCTCAGAAGCAATGCAAAGGCTTTGGGAAGTCAGGAGTACTGAGGGAGAGGGAAGTAATTGCTGGAAAGGAGCCTGGGTGTGGGTGAGAGAAGGGTGGAACAGGGTTTTTTGGGGTGGGAGGATTGTTAGGGAGTTGGGGAGCCTCTCCCATGCAGACCCTGGCTGACCCCTAGCCTCTCCCATTCAATCAGGCACATCTGCCCCTGTCTCCATGTGTCCCTGTATCCCCCCCATCCCCATGTGTTCCTGCACCCCCACTTATCCACCCCCTATCCCCAGTCCCCAAGTGGCACTGCACCCCCACTCACCCATCACCCCAGTCTGTCCCCCCACTAGCTCTTTTGAACCCCAGTCTATGTGATCCCCTTCCAGCAGCCTTGTGTGCCCTGTTCTGTCTATTCCTCCCCACCACTCCACCCCATCCCATCCTGTCCCTCCTCATCTGGCCCATGGGCAAGGTGCTGTGAAGAACGCAGACTCTCCTCCCTATCCATGGTTGGCTGGCTGCTCTGGCTTGTGATCTGGCTGCCTCAGTTCTGGCACCACAGCAGTCCCTGGTGAGCGAAAGGCATAATTGCAGCACCTCTCCTGCAGAATGTATTTTCTGTGGAGAAAAAAAAAATCTGCAGGGCACATGAATTCTGTGCCTACACAGTGGTGCAGAATTCCCCCAGGAGTAGGCCCTGCCAAAGCAGTACTGAGTGTATGTATGGCTGTATTAAACCATTGCAAGGACATGAGACAACCAATCTTTTCATACAGATAGTTTCCTACATGGGTCTAAGGTTTTTCAGTTAGGGTGACCAGATATCCCGATTTTGTAGGGACAGTCCCGATTTTGGGGGCTTTTTCTTATATAGGTACCCCCCATCCCCTGTCCCAATTTTTCACACTTGCTGTCTGGTCACCCTATTTTCAGGAGCAATAGTGATTTTTTGTGATATGGATACCCATCCACTGGGACCCAAACTCATTTCAGATGGGACACTGCATAGCCAAGCAATAGGAGATGCTTTTGGTTACTGTCAACCTGGATTGGATTCAAACTAGCAACTTAGAAAGTGAAAAGTCCTTATCGAGCCCATTACCAACCCCCTGTGCCATCCAGTCCTCTGTTGGGAGAGTGATTCAGTCACAAACAAGTTCTTATTTAAGTGACAGTTAAAGGGAAACCCCAGAATCTGGAATTTGGTGAGATTCCAATGGTCTTTTACCTACTTTTTCATGCCTGCAGGATAACCCTCCCACTACAAGAACCAGTCAGAATGAAGCTCCGCTCCGTGACTCTGTCCTCATTCAGTCTGTGTATTTCCATTCTCTATGCTGTGTTTCTGCTTGCGAAATGCGGCATCGCCTCTCCTTGAGTCTGAGGCGCCAGAAAACAACAAAAAGGAAAGAGCCCCGCCCCAGCACGGAGAAGTTAGTGTCAGGAGAAAATGTTACTGAAATGTAACAGCAGTTTAGCTCTGAAATACAGTCACAGCAAGTCCCTGAGGTACCAAGTGGCTCTCTGGGGGGAATGTGGGAATGGAGTTTGAAGAGCTGTCCCTCCCTCAGAACACGGCTGGGTGAAAAGTGTCTGTGTGGTTATGAGTACAAGGTATTAGCTACAGACCTTGGGTCATTTGTGATTCTCATACTGGTGGATCTGTCTGAGCTCTAGCCACCATTAACCGAGACGCTGATTACTTGCCTTGCAGACCTGGCAGGGCTAAGTGGAAGTGTGTTGTGGTGTCTCTGTTTCTTCCTCAGCCAGAAAGTGGTGATGGATAACAGCACCTCTCCTGGAGCTTGGATCAGTTGCCACGCTATCTGCTGGAATAAGTCGCATTTTCTGGGACCACACCTGCATACTAAAAGTGAGGGCTGCCACAAGTTACTTCTTAGTAGCCCTGCACTACCCAGTGCTCTCATGTACACGACAGACTTCACTACGTGTAAATACTATTGTTAAGCACGAGGGAATCCCAATTTAATCTTTTCTACATAGATAGGACCGATATCATGCTATAGCCCTTTTAAGTCATTGTTCTCTAGTCCTGGTTATGCAATGTGAGCAAACAGTCATAAGAACATAAAAATAACCATACTGGGGCAGACCAAAGGTCCAGCTAGCCAATATCCTATCTTCTGACAGTGGCCAATGCCAGGTGCCCCAGAGGGAATAAACAGAACAGGGAATCATCAAGTGATCCTTTCCCTGTTGCCCATTCCCAGCTTCTGGCAAACAGAGGCTAGGGACACCATCCCTGCTCTACAAGTCAGACTTGTAGTGAAGACAGGGGGCCAAGGACTTAAGCAGCATTGCCCAATAACTCTCCCTGGTAGAAAGAACAGGAGTACTTGTGGCACCTTAGAGACTAACAGATTTATTAGAGCATAAGCTTTCGTGGACTACAGCCCACTTCTTCCGATGCATATATGCATATATATAAATCTGTTAGTCTCTAAGGTGCCACAAGTACTCCTGTTCTTTTTGCGGATACAGACTAACACGGCTGCTACTCTGAAATCTCCCTGGTAGGGTGACCAGACAGCAAATGTGAAAAATTGGGACGGGGGTGGGGGATAACAGGAGCCTATATAAGAAAAAGACCCAAAAATCAGGACTGTCCCTATAAATACACTTTTGACCTCTTGAATTGCGCTGGTTTTAAATATTTGTGCTCAGGACACTGGATGGGGGCAATATGCATAATCTACAAACTTATTTATGTGTAATTTGGGGGTTGAACTAGATACCTTCCAACCCTGAGTCTATGATTCTAACTTATGAAAACAAAAGTGAAAAGATTTTTAATGATGTAGCTAAATTACTTTTACAGCAAAAATAAACTCCTTGAAGAACATGCTCCTCTCAATCACACACACACACGCTCTCTCGCTCTCTCTCTTTCAATCACACACACACTGTCTCTTTCAACTGTCTGAGTGAAAGGGCGTAACAGTTGCCAGCACCAC